TTTACATGCTAAATTTATAACTCGATATTATATTCTACATGTAGATAAAAGAGTGAACTTTAATTTAATATAAGTTTCATTAAAGTCTATTCACTTTTAGTATAAAAAATATTGGCCGAAACTTTTCAAAGAAGTTGCAAAGATGCACAATTTACAGCATTGCATTTTCTGACATTTTTCGAAGTTTACATTCGAAATTTATAACTCGATATTATATTCTACGCGTAGACAAAAGAGTGTAATTTAATTTAATATAAGTTTTATCTAAATCTATTCACTTTTAGTATAAAAAATATTAACGAAAACTTTTCAAAGAAATTGCAAAGATGCACAATTTACAACAAAACTTTCCAAAAAGTCTTATTTCCGATTTCGTTTGAAGGCTCTTTGCATTCATAGTAATGCCGAGGAATTACTAGCAATGACTGATTTCCGGCTTTGACGGTAACATATGCACTACGTAATATTTCTACTCGTATATTACGTGTGTATATATATATCGTAGAAAAGTCTGCTTCGAGTTATTCTTCTACGAGATGATGAATTGATCATTAAGAAAAGAACAAATAAATAAATAGCTATCACCAGAATGAAATTTTACCCTACGATATATTTTATTTTTTTATTTTTATCGAAACCAATAAGAAAATAAAATTCCAATAAGTATTTGCATGTAACAACAAATAATATTATAATAATTAAGACAAATCATTTATTGTACTCGGTGTTACTTATTTTCTGAAGATAAAATTGCACCGATGCATAACTTTTAAGGATTAAACAAATACTATTCAACTGGTATAATTTGTTTAAACGCTTACCTAATAATTTCTCAAGGTACTGACATCTAGTTTCTGGATCACCTGGACTCATAGGTGCACCCGCAACGAGTTCAGCCAATTCTGCCTTAACCATAACATTTAATCGGGCAGAGATTTCTTCGAGACCGACTAAAAAATAAATATAATTCATAATTCACATACAAACAACGTAAGAACAATAATTAAGAAAGAGTTAGATATTGCAAAATGTATGTTTTTTATAAGGAATGCTTTTGAAATCGCAGAATGAATTGTTCGGATATATAATCTTCGATTGCATCGAGTTTAGTCAAGGTGGAATGTGACATGAATGGCCATGGAATGCGTGACTTAGCTTTCTCAAGGCCCATTTTGGACAGCTGGTTACTCCTAATAGGTTGAGACTTAAGCGGGACGTCTTTTATAAGTCCTCTCCATATTATATTTAATCAGAATCAGTAACTCCGGGTGGGCCGACCATTAAACGTAATGAAACGGTATCGATTACAAAACGAATATTTATTACTTACGATCGAATCAGTTAGGAATAATCAATTTCAATATTATATTAAAACTTCAGATAATTATTACTATTGTGGCTACGCGTTTTATTTTCAATTCATTTCATATTATCACATCTCAAATATGATTTTCAATTGGATACGCGATTCTATCTAATTATTTGTATTAATTATATTTCTATATATATATAGAAGTGAGTGATCATTATATAAAGACTTAGAAGTGTGATATTCTAATTCATACATCATATTTTATATTATCACGTTTATAATACTTTACGTGTCACCGATTTTAAGTTATACACGTTTGATAGTAGAAAGGACGCCGGTAACGAAGTTCCATTCATGCGAACTTCATTAACGAATCGTGCTTGAATCGGTTCCCACAAACGTGCACGCGATACGTGGTACGATACACAACTTCAATAGTGGGGAGGAAGGTGTTCCGGCGAGAAAGAGTTCTGCGTAATGCTCGTTATGCAAATGCATATAGTAACCTCGTACACACGTGCACCATAGATCATAAGAACGTTACGCGACTTACACTTCTCTTTGTATTCTTTTTTCTTTCTTTTTTATTCTATGTAGTAACGCGACTGTAAAGGATAAATGTTTTTTTAAGAATAATACTTTGCATACAATTACTTTTAACATCGATTTGAAATATTACTCAATCGGATAAGAACAATTTAATAGAAATATTTTAATTATCTTCGATTAATTTTTTACGTTATATAATTTATAATTATTTACAAAAATAAATTGCAAATTATATTATGTGTCACAAAATTAATCTTAGATAATTTGAAATAAACTAGACAAGAAATACGATTATAAAAATAAATATAATTAAATCAAAATTGTCGTTTATTCAGTAAAAGAAAGTTTAAAAATTCGATATGTGATTATCATCGTTTATTATTGTATTTATAATAAAAATGAAAGAAAAATGATAATTCGATCATGTAAAAAAAGAAAAATGTACGAAAACTAAAAAATATCGTATTGATTTTTCATTTGGCAAAAAAAGAAAAATATAGAAATTGATAATTCGATTATAATTCGATCGTAATAAATACGGCCCTGGTTAAAAGTAGATATAGTAAACGCGGAACGGTGTACACGATAGTGACAGCGTGGGCGATGGTACGTTGAGCGTGTTGGACGTGGAGACGTCATATCCGGGCGCGGTAGGTCGAGCCAAGGTGAGGAGAGGCCGTGATCAGCCCTCTAATGAAGAAAATCTCGTCTTGCATTTTAAAGGACTCGCGGAGTATATGTTTTACGCGTACTTCCCCAGGTAAGGGCTCAAAGGCGAGCCCTTTAGCCTTGCCGCATAAAATGCCGGTCCTTCTTTAGAGCGTAGGAAGGATAACGTTTAATGACGAACATGCTTGATGTCGATTTCCAATGTCGATAAGAAAGGAAGAAGAAGAAGAAGCCGTGAATCTTCGTTTGTTTCCTTCGATGCAAGCCGATTTTAAATGTTGCATTTATTTTGAAAAGTACGAGTTAGTAAGAATATGATGAACAATACTTGGTATAATTACTATACCTGGTTCAAAACTTTTTTTCATCCTTCGCCATTGTCTCGCATAAACCAAGGCCGAACAACCCGCTACCAAAAAGAAGACCACACAGGCACATACCGCTAATACAAGGGCGGCAGTTTGCCAATCCCACAAAAGATTTCCTTCGTGGATATTAGATTTTCTCCTTTCTCGAGGATCATATGACCTCTGTGAAAATAAAACGTATTTATGTCAAATCTGTGCTTATAAAATCCTCGTATATTATACTAACCGACAATTATCTAAAGTAAAAAAGATAAACTTTAAAGGTCTATATACGCGCAGTTACGATTTCTTCGTTCTTTACTTTTTGTTCTTGAGAAGATAACTCGTCAACGTGTCCCACGTTTATTTCGTCGTCGTAAGTAGCATCGACGAGACTCCTCGTTTCCTGTTTTAACTTCTCTTGCTGTCGTTGCTCCTGCGACTGTTGTTGTTGTTGTTGATCTAAATCAGGAAATCGCCAAAGCATCTTTGATGTTACCGCTTCCAAACGTCTCTGTCCGTTCTCAGGCCTTTTTCTCGTTGAAAGAAAAGACCAGTCAAGCTCCAAAGCTGATAGTGGACCACAAATTGCATCTTTATGCACGGCGCAAGGGCTCAATGTGAACTCGGGCGCGCATCTCGTGCATGGCCAGCAAGATGCACGCTCGGTGGACCAGAATTCTAAGCCTGGTTTACACACCGGATACTGAGAACCGGATATTGCGCCAGCGAGATCACAGACACCGACGAATAACGGCACTAGGGTTAGCAGTAACCCCCAACAAGATTCCTTTGGCATTACCTAAAATTGCATTACAATGATTATTATTTTTTTTTCTATTAAAACAAGCAACATTAAATCGATTGAATGTTCGCGTTCAAATCATGATTTACATTGAAATTCGTTTATTCCTTTGACCTATACCACGTGACAAGGATCTATCATCCCATACAACGATTATAAAACCGTTGTTGTCATTATAATGCGTAATGAATCGCCATTGTTGGCAGACGGCGTACCAGTTTGGCGTTATATGATCGTGCCACTTGTAATCATTGATTACTACACATGTGGTTAACCAACGAATACACTAGCATCGAATTATATTACATAGTCCTTCCTCAGACTCTTCCTTTAATAACTTATTGTTTAGATTTTCTTATGAATAAAAAAATGATTTATGCGTAGGAAGACACGTAATCAGCAATACATGTACCATTTGAAATCGATGCATTATAAAGTACTTTTGTTTCGTCCCTTTGTTTCTCGTTTTCGAATTTTATGCATGCGTGGTCAGATTACATATGTGAGCATAAACTTAAAGCAAATGCCTCGCCATTATTCAAATTAATCGATGCAAGTAGCCGGTACATGCCTCGATGTAAAGATTACGTTAGCACGAGCTCTTTTTCGCGTATTTCGAACGTTTCATGCAAATAAATAAGCACCTTTCTTTCTTTCTCTATATATATATATATATATATATATCTTTATCTCTCTTTGTTTTTTTCTTCTTATTATCTTTTCTTTTTCTCGTAGAAACTTCAACAATGTTCGAATCGTTGCATAGTTCAGAGAAATCGCCGTTCTCGAAGAATTTTAAAGATTCATGGCGACGCGTAAAGTGGGAACGCTGAAGTATTCTTATCGTACCTTGTCTTGGAAGACTTCGAGTAGTACTTTCCAAAGTATTGAAGTCACGTACGTGTTCGCACGTAAAGCACAAATACAAGTTCTACGAATTGACTTTGTTCTACGATCAATATGAAATTTCTCCGATATATACTATGTGTAAAAAAAGAAAAAAAAAAAAAAAAAAAAAAAAAAAAAAAAAATTAAAAGTCTTTGTGCAAGTCCGAAGATATTTTGTTCTTAAAATAAAATCCGACAGATATATACATGCATACATAAATGCATTTAGATTTTCATGAGAGATGAAAGACGAATAACAGATCTTATGCGTTTGATTTAAACTGCACATCATCCGATCTCCACGGGGAGTTTTTAACCCTACTGAGATAGGAAAAAAAATATAGAAAAAAAGAGTGAGAGAGAGAGAGTGAGAGAATGTTGAAAGCCAAACGTCGATCGCAACCGATCGACGTAACTCTTCCGTATAAAGGCCCTCTTTAAGCGGCAAAAGCGCTCGGACCGTTTCCACTTCCGGCTCGTTCCCGATGTAATTACATCCGCAGTTGAATCGCAATCCATCTACGTCATCGCTGATACACGAGTCTGTGCCTTTAATGCACCTACATTACAAGTACTTACTTTACGAATGCACACATTCGTGCCTATTATTTAAAAAAAAAAGAAAAAAGTTCTGTCAAAATTTGTTTCTCGTTTCGAACAAATTACAAAAGAATTTATCGAAATTTAAGAAGAAGAAGAAGAACAAAAATTAAATTAAATCAATAAACATTTGTATTAACGATTCGTTGCAATGATTTGTATCCCACAACGCGTGTATCTACCATACATCGAATTATAAAAAAAAAAAAAAAAGAAAAAGATTTGTTAATAATACGTATAGAAATTCGATAATAAAATTATACGCGATTTAATTGTTAATTTGAAAACGTAATCTTAGAAAAATAAAGAAGGATTAGAGATTGTTGTTAGGATATGCTAAATCGTTTTCTATTATTTCTCGTCGTAAAGTTGTTATCCGGTTTGTGCAGTCACGAAAGCAAATATGAAATAGAAACGAAAGTAGCTGAAGAAAATACAATAAGTTGCTTCGCCATGTATGGTAAAGTAGTTTCTCTTCGCCTACTTAAAATTGCCTGTGCACACGTGTCATATTTCTTGAGGGCGCACATACATACATACATACATAAATATATAAATACATATACATATATATATATATATATATAGTCGATCATTGTCGTGTTGTACTATGCTTACAATAAGTATTCGCTGGCTAGTTCGCTGTCTCGCGAACAAAACTCAATGCGCGTGTGCGGACAACCGAAGCACAATCAAAATGCAACGCTTCGATTCGCTCGCTCGTGAGAGAGTCAACGATGCAAATGCAATACCTCCGCCGAATTCGTCTCTTCGTGATGTGTATTTCAATCTCTGTTTATTTTATTTATGGATTATCGAAGGTTCTTGTGCTAAAGTCATGCTCAGACTTAATAACAATCTTCGTAGGAACAACGTAATATCTCTTTTTACACGAAAACGATGTAAACATTGCGAACCTTCGATGAAATTTATTTATTTTCTTCTTATTCTTTTTTCTTTTTTTTTTTCTTTCTCTCCCCGTTGATATAATCTGTATTATTCTATCGCAAATTGCACGACACGCATGCTTAATATCATCGATAAGAGAAACCGTTAAATACTTGTGTATGTATGTATGTGTCCTCTATTAAAAAGATTCATACTTCGAATTCCATTCAATACTGAATATCGAAAATATATATATTTGGTAAATTCAAGGAATCCGATTCTTTGTTCATTTTTAAAGGAAAAATATTGCGAAAAAATATTGAATATTACCATTAAAGTTAAAACTCGATGAATGAGATTCGAAAGGAGTGGGCACACACTCGGTTTGCTTTTTATTGACACGACGATGCAAAAGAGATGGAAAGAATTTAATCTTGCTTTTCTACAGTGTCTGGCATTGTTTATTTTCAAACGAGCCTTCTCAATAAACATCGACAAAAAAATAACTCTACGTTAGCTCGAGCCATAGCCACGTGTTTTGTGCACGTTAAAAACCACCACGCAGGATACGATTGAGGAATTTGAATTTAACGTGATAAACACAGACTAGAGTTCATTTCGTTGGCATTCGTTTTGAAAATAATGCCTGTGCAATCTCACGCTTGAGATGTCTATTTTGAATTTTCTTTCGATACTTTATTTTGCTGACGATCGGTCACTTAACAAAAAATCATTTTATCTATAGTTCGAAAAATTTGTTTAACAATTTTCGTGATATTCAAAATTATTCAAATCGTTTAAATCTAATGTCGATATTTATTTGAATTATTTTATTATTATAATAATACTTCTAATATACTATTTCAAACGTATTAATTTACTTCTATACTGTACTTTATATATGATACTATAATGCACTTTAATTATTGAGTTAATTATTCTATAATATTATAGTATGTCGTAATTATATATAAAAGTAATATTTACCTAAATACTTGAACAGTTTAATTATATTAAATTATTCTAATGTACATTAATACACTATAATGTAATGAATGTTTATCAAATACTATACTTACTATTTGATTAAAAGTATTACAATAATCTTCTTATAAAAATTACTCAAATAAATATAGATTATTTTTGAAATCTAACAATTTATAATAAAGAATATTAAATCATCGCTAACGGATCAATAAGATTACATCGAATTATTACATCCTAATTAAAAAATCATTCGAGTTGCATCGTTGCACAATACTATTCATTGTACAGTTTGCTCGAGTCCACACATTGTACGAGGATCTGCAAGATAATTCCATGAGTGTTGTGTGAATTCGGTGAAATATACGGCGTACTACACGGAAGAGCAAACACGTGTACTACTTGCATAATTCATAAACGCACGTTGTCGTTGCTTGTCTCTCTGCCATCATATAAACAGTAAATCTTTTCGCAAGCATTGAAAAAACAGAAAAAAAAAACAAAAAAGAAAATGTTTATACCGTTCATACATTTAATCGAAAATTTAATAATAGAAAATATTCGACAAGTTTTACATATAAATTCTACCAACTCTGACGAATAATTATTCAATTATTTGTTATAAAAAAATAAGTTTCTAAAGCTCTATTAAAATATTATTAAAAAGGTGTCGTCTATAATGTTAACATTATTTTACCTCTATGATACCGCTAACAATAAAGTTACAAAAAAAAGTTATCACTTATAAATTATATTAAATTTAACTGTGATCTTAGAAAAAAGTTTGATACAAATTCTCTAATACACATACGTATAGTATATTTCTCTCCGATCAATTGATAAAATTACTTACGCTGCCTTAGGTTGTTTCGGTTCTGTCATGATGTAATCCTTGCCTTAATCGTCGAGAAAATTTACAAAATATTCTTTTCTTTAATTCTTATAATTTTGTTTATTATCACGGCACCAATTGAACACACCGAAATTCAATGTAAAGTTTAGGAAAATACAAAATTCACGTATCACCAAGGGAAATCCCGTTTTTTCCAAGTTTTTGTTGATACTTGATTTGACGTTTATATTAATATCAAGTTGTCGTAATTCGTGTACACAAAAACAAACAAACAAACAAAAAATAAAAAAACCTAATTCGTTATTATATTATAGAGAGTGGCACACACGATCACCATCGGTCTGATAGATAAATAAGTAAGACGATAAGAAAGAAAAGTGGGGGAATAAAGGGATAAAAAGGAAATTTGTTTTTTCAAAATACAAAGATGCGATGATATTTTTCTTCTTATCTCGTTGTATATCTCTTCTCCTCGTTTATTTCGAAATACGTGCGTACTAACGCGCGGTCGCAACGCGACTAGTCCGACGAGTTATACTAATTTCCGCCCACGACATAACCGCGAGAGTCTAAAGTGAATGAGAGAGAGAGAGAGAGAAAGAGAGAGATGACGATGAAGAGAGAGACTAGAAGAGACGAGGCAAGAGCGTATACGAGAGAGAGAGAGAGAGAGAGAGAGAGAGAAGAAAGAATAAAAGAAAGAAAGAAAGAGGGAGATGGTAGTAACCCAGGTCGGTGGGGTGGAGGGGGGAGGATCGTAGGAGAGGAAATCTCTGTCGGTGAAAAGAAAAAGGGGTGGGGATAGGGGCAAAAGAAAGAGATAGAAAACTTGAAAGTTGAAGTAGTTTCTCGACGGGTTCTCTCCAGCTAGTATTATATATATACTATATATATATATATATATATATATATATATATATATATATATATATATGTATACGTGATTCTTACCTGGACAATCAACCCTACTCTTTTTCTTAAGTGACCACCATTCCTTTCGTAGGCTGACCGATGCATCTCCTGGAATAACGAAGGAGCAACCAGTTTCTAAATCATCTACGTGGTTGAATCTAGAGAGATATTATCTTGGATACATTCACATCCTATTTTTCTCTCTTTTTTAAAAGAAATATTGTATATTATACATCATTAAACTGGATATGTGTGCAGTTATAAATTAAAAAAACTATTACAAGATAATATCTATGTGATAGATATATAGATATATCATTATATTTCGCGATTTAAAATAGATAATTACAAAATCTTTATTATTATTTTATTTATTATAAATATCTTATATATATATATATATATTTTGTACTCTAGAATTTTTGTTTAAAAGAATTTAAATCAAATCACAATTCCAATTATAATGTATACGAGTAATATACTCAAAATATATGTCCTGATGAAAAAAAATAAACAATAATTAATCTTTTCATTTTCTCTTTTAACGAATTTGAATTGATGAAAATAAATGATAAGATCATGAATGAATACACATATAGAAGATTCATCTGTGGCATAAAGTTTCTTCTTCAAACAAGTAAGATATGTAAGAAGGGAAGAGTAGGAACGTAAGAAGTCAACAGTGACGATACACAGGCATACAAAATAGAACGTTTTAGCCCCTGGGATTCCAAAGTACGAGTTCACACAGGATCTCTCTCCACTTCCTGTTTCATTTAGAACGATTTCCCCAAGGCAGGATATACCAAAGTACTCTCTAAGCCAGCCACATTTAGTACAAGAGACAGCATCTGGACTTGGTCTGTCTTTGGTATGCTGGTTTGTCCTCGCTATGCAATCTTCGTTGTAAAGAATTAAATTCCTCTCTTTGTTTCTCGTTTTCACTCTCTCTTTCTTCCTTTAGGGTCTTCCCGACGTTCTGTCGGCTGTCTCCTTTCTGCATCTCCTGACGACCTTTCATTTTACGTGAGTGGAATTACATAAAAACAAAGATAAACATCATCATCCTAATAACTGTCTAAATCCCATAGTCGCAGTAACAATGCGCTTAAGATCAAACAGCGATGAAAAGTCAGGATAAAATGTATTAACGATTTGTAACGTGACCACCAGTGGGCGATAGTAGGTACTTAACAGGATGACGATAGAATACTATCAAAGAATGCAGTTATGATGGGACAATACTATCAAAGAATACAGTATATATAGAATATAAGATTCTTTCATATTATATGTAGTATTATAGTTCTATTGTTTTCAAATTTTAAATAAATATATTTGATTTTTAGTGTATAAATATGTGTGTGCCTTCAGAAATGCGTATATAAATTAATTTGAAAAAGCAAGAATATTAAGTCAATCAAGATGAGTTGATGTTAAATCCAACGATGATCACCTGTAACAAGAAGAAAACTATATTAATCATCAGAAAAAACTAAATTATTTAGATTTCCTTTTTTCTTAGATTTTAAACTTAGTAACGTTCGTTAAATCTCACAATAATTTCTCTTACCTCTTTTGTCTTTAAAATTCTTTTCTTTCATAGAATATTATTATATTTGAAATTTTGTGTGTGTAAAGAACGCGGTTTAAAAGTAATTGACAATGATTAAAATAGATTTTATTTTTAGCATTGCAATATTTGTAGCTTTTTTATTTCTTAATTATTATACATTATAATATAAAATCACGCGTTTAAATTTCATTATATGCAACCTGAAATAGAGATTTGATAAAAATAAATAGGAAATTAAATTTAATAGTGCATCTCTCCTAATTTGGCGACTTGTATTTTAGGCCTGTGTTTATTTATTGACTGTATGATTAATATAGTTTCCTTCTTGTTACAGGTGATCGTCGTTGGATTTAACATCAACTCATCTTTATTGACTTTCATCTTGATTGACTTAATATTGTTGCTTTTTAAAATTAATTTATATACGCATTTCTGAAGACACACACATATTTATACACTAATTTTTAAATAAAAATAAGATAATATTGAGTAAATAATTTGGGTTGTGTATGGAAAAAATAACACACATTAGAGTGATATTTATTTAAATAATTATTTATACTTTCAAAGTCTCTTCGTTTGGCATTGATTTATACATGAAGCTACATAGTTGTACATCATCACGCTATTGAATATTGCAGAGATGTTATTTTTTCGAAAAGTGAGTATCATTCAATATTTCTTTCGTGATATAACATATATTGAAGGTTCATTTAAAAAATTAATAAATATATGTGTATATGTTATAACTAAACAATATATGTATATATATACACATATAAAAAATATTTATTAATATTTGCACAACGATCAGTCATAATAGAAGTGTAATATAATATAATATAACGCTGATAATAACGCATAAAATTTGTTAAATATTAACTCGATAATAATTAATTACGAATTATAATAGCAACAATAAGATTTTTTTTTTAAACGATCACAAACGAATGTCTATATGGATAAATTGGTAAAAATTTATATTGTTTATCAAAATTGTTTAATTAAATGACTGAAAATGGAAAGGTTTAAGAGTAACATTTCTTACAGAAATTTGAATAAATGCATAACTTCTTTTTTTGTTTGTACTAATTCGTACAAAACAAAATATTTCTTTGCAGACTTTTCCTTTTCACCCACTCAATTATGTATTATTACATTTATTTTTCTTTTTATTGATATTATAGATAATTATCCATTCGTATTTTTTCATTGAAATGAATAAACATAAAGAAAAGAATCATTTGTCGATTAAATGAATATTTGAAAAATATAATACTTCGTAAATAATATTTTTTCGCTTTGATTCGCTGCAGTTAAGTTGTGTATAAATGTGGAAACAAATATATATATATGCACAGGGTACTTCAAAATTAAATGATTCAACTTCGATATCATATTCTATTCGGTAAAAAGTTTATATAAACACGGATAAAACGAGAACTGTTCTTTTACTTTTAATTAATCTGCTTTAGAATATTTGAATAATAATTACATTAATCTTTAAATCGGCACCCCCTTCACATTCCTCCCGATTTAATATCTTTGAAAAGTTTAGTTTATGATAATAATAATAATAATAATAATAATAATAATACTATTAACGCAAGCACGCGATAATAATAATTCGGAATATATTAATTTTCAAATATCTTCTACAGTCTTGGATAATTTCGGTTATATAAACGTGTTAAATTATTTATTAACAATTACTTTCAGTAACTTTTGTCGCGTTCTTAAAATACTTTGTCACAAACAAAAATTATTTTTATCCGTAAAAAAAAAGAGTTTCCGGATTTTTGTATTTTAATTTATCATATTTTTTCGGAATAACGATGCCACAAAATTTAGCGATTAATTTCTGATACATCCTGTATATATATATATAAATATGTTTATAGCAAATTAAAAATAATTGCACTTAGAAGCGTTATAAATTCGCACAAACTTACATTTCTTAGAAATCAAACAAATGTACGAGATATTATACGTAAATATATGCTTATACAGATTATATTTGCTAGTAACAACGTACGCGTATTTGTTTAATCAATTATTTTCTTTGTTTTATAATTCGATTTACTTAATATAGAAGAAATTCGCAGAGTTAAAGTAACAAAAAGTAAATAATGAACACAATCAAAGTCAGACTAGCTTAAAACATAATATAGCACACAATTTATAGAAATAATTAATTCATTTATTAATCGTTATTTTATATTTGTTTTACTTTATAATTTGCACTTATGAGAAATAAATATAAAATAATAAGTGACAAAAAGGAACATTTCGGTATTTCGCTAAATTCTTTATAAACGAGCAAAATAATAATAATCATCATCATCATCATCATCATCATCGATCGATCTAAGATAGTTTATAAAAATATTCATTTTTTTTTTGTTTTTAATGCTCTCGAGATAATATATTTCTAAAAATGCATATATCTTATGTATATTTATTAACTTTTCGGCAATTGACAATGAGACAGCATAAGTGTGCACATATGTAAATTCTATTTTCAATTGTCTGATTAATTTTCGATAAACAATTAAATATACTTATTGAATAATACGATTGGTGTTAACAAAAGTCATAAAAATCTTGTCACACAAACACACGAAATCTATTTTTTTTGGTTTTTATAATATTCGATGGCACTGTAAGGAATATAGAAAATCGAAAATTCATTTAATGAGATCTAAATATTTCGTTTTTCGTTGTCTTCGATTGCTATGATCTCTCACAAATCTTATATATACATAACTTATTAATAAATTCTTAAAATATCGAACTGAAAATGAGCAAAAATGCTATTGAATATTGTGTTCTTTTTTTGTTTTTTTCTCTCCTAATGAAATATTTAATAATAGATCGTGTAAGTTTATTTTCGATTTTTGTATTTATTCGAATACGCAAGCTAAAACACGTACGAAGCAGGTACAAATTCTGGAACATGCTTGACCAGCACACTCTTTTCTTCGATTTTTTCTATTATCTTGACGTTCCTTCTTACCTGATTTTAACATGCTACAACCTTGATTATGGCACGTTATTGTTCCGCTCCTTGGTGTATTGGTTAGCCTCCAAAGAGGGCTGCTTCTTGAAATATTTGCCTATAATTAATATTAATATAATTAGTATAACTATTAACTTGTCTTTTTTTCGTATCATGCAAAACAAAAAATATTATATGAACAAATTTGATTGTACATTTTCGATGAGATTTTTCATATAGAATCACTAGACCAACCCCCCCCCCCCCACTTGTATCAAAATTTCAAAGAGAAACCTTATATTAATATATTTTAAAAATAATAAAAACATCTAATATTAAATATATAACAATTTACCTCTCCTTTACAAGGATGTCCAAGAATTTTGGCAAAAATAAAAGCTGATTCTTCGCTAGATAAAATACCATTAACCATTGGACCATCAATAAATTCTCTATCGGTCATAAGTAAATATCTTACGGAGTACCACACTTCGTCCGATAGGGCAGCCCTTTTGTTTGAAGAAGTAGGTTCGATACCACGTTTTCTACAATTCGATGCAGCCCATTTATTGAGTGCAACGAATAGAATCACTTCGTTAGGTAATCTCAATGTATCACGACACGAGATTTCTTGAACTTCTTTGGCATTCAATTCTTCGAAACGTTCTTGATTAAGTATAGTTGATGGATTAGCATCGATTATTGCCAAACATCGTGAAAGAAGTTCGGTGCAGGCTGCAGCTATAATTAAAAAAAAAACAAATAAAGAAAATCGAGATCGATAATACTGATTTAAATAATTAAGAGATATTATTTATAATTATTATACATTTTTTGTTTTGTTTTAAATTATAAATTTTTACCTATTTCACTAGCCTCGTCATCGGACGCGGGTGGAGCAGATGGTTTGTTTGATGATTCGGTGATAGTATTGTTATCTTCGATTGTAGGAAATGAAAGCGGATTAGCGTAAAGATAAAGATTTTCATAAACTTCGAGTACGTTTGAGGAATTTAAATTCTCTACGAGATAATTTATTGCTAAACGTGCGAGATCTAAACAAAGATATTGGTGTGCTACGTCAAGCGTTGCTCTGGCAGTTGATACTGATTGAAAGATAATAGGCTCATCGTTGAGATATCTATTAACAAGTAAATAAACAGATGTTTGTATTACGAATTTAAATGTCTCATTGTATATTATTGTGTTCGCAATTAAGTGAATGCGAACTTTTTTGGCTGACAATTAAGCGAATGTGTATGTCGTCGATAGATTATTATTAAAATAATCGCACTCACACTTAATTGCCAATCCAATATTTATACCTTTATATATTAATTTCAATTTGTTTTCATATTTATTATTACAATTTTTGTGAATCGAATAATATAAAAGATACAAATATTTAGTAGCCTTAAAATACGTATTAAACTAATATCAAAGATTTCGATTTATCTTATTGTATATATCGTGATATTTAAATATTATTAATAATAGAATAATTTGTTTTTTAAAGGATAGAAAAAGATTGTAGTTTTAAATGTATATTAAAAAAAAAAAAACTAATATCGAAGATTCATTTTATTCGTGTGTGTGTGTTTTCTACGTTTGAATTAATCTTCATAATAATAGTGTGAATGTTTAAAAAAAAAACAAAATAGATATGAATTGTAATACCTGAGAAAATGATCGAACGCTCGTTTTTCAATATGTTTTATGGTTAGAAGTGGAGGAGGATCTGTTCGTTCTGGTGCCAAGGGTCCCATGAGCATTGCACGAAACCATTCAGATTTTTTGGCCAATCGTTCCCTCTCTATACGATACCACCAGGTGTCCCCAGGTAGCCCCACCTGCATTTACGGTACATCAAAGAAATGTAACACGCGTGTTCATTTGCCATCTGCTATTTTTCTCGCAATTGTTTGTTCAATCGTGAATACGCGTAAAAAGTAAATAATACAATTAATTTAATAATTGTATTAGGTCAGATTGTGGATAGTTTTCTTTTCAATTATTTTATATCCTTTATTGATCAATATAACGAATTATAAACAATACAATGACGAATTTAAATTATAAGTATTATTTTTTCCTATTGTGTTTTAAATGAAAAATCAGAATAAAAACTTAACATTAAATTTTAATGTAAGAATCAAGATAAAACTTTCAATTAAATATGGAATTTAAATGTAATAAATATTTTGTTAATTTTTTAATAAATCTTGTTTACTCATGACTTAAATTTTGTGATCAATTAAATCTGACAATTGTGATATATACGAAATTCTTTTAATTTCAAATAAAAAAAGAACACGATCTCCAATATCTTTTGTATAATATATACCTCTAATGTTAATTAATATAAATATAAAATAATAAACATACCTCGAGATTAACGATGTTACGAGGATCGATGCCAGACGTATTCTCGTCTGATTTGACGAGTGGATGAATTTCGGACATATTTTTCGAGGACGAATGTATCGTGGTGCTTTTTAATGAGATCCTATTTCGTATACGAGCGTTTAAAATATTTTCCCACGTTTTCTCAGTCTCCATATATTCGATGCATCTCGAATCGTCAACTAGAATATAATAAATCGATAATAATTTTATTTCAATTTAAAATAAAATAAATAAAGAAAGGAAGAGAGAGAGAGAGAGAGAGAGAGAGAGAGAAAGAATTAGATGATGAGAAACCTTTTAAAGTTGTCAGTGAGAGATCGTAAAGTATACTACTGAATCGTAACAGGGGATACTTTCGAGACGAAACTTTATCTTTTTTTTGAAATTATATTTCAACCATTTTTTATCGACGATAATTTTTTTTTTCTTTTTTTTTTTTTTAAAAAAATCTTACCGTAAAACGTTCAAATATTTCCCATTAACCGAGATAATATCTAATATACACATGGGTTTGGCAGATATTCGCAATAGATAGTACACAGCACCGATTACTCTTTCATTTTTTTAATAACGATAAAAGATAACAATTTTTCTGTTTATACATACATATTATATATATATTATGTCGTCTATGACACGAAGATAATTTATCTTTTTCTATGTATTATCGTATCTTTTTTTTTTATGAATACATTACAATTTTTATTCGCGAAACTGTGTCACGAATATTCGTATTAAATATACAAAAATTAATGAATTTTTTAAATATTAATTATATGAGAAGTATATATATATAAGGAAAAGTTTTGAAAAGAAAGTTACCCATAAGAAATCTCAAACTCGACTGACCGTTCATATCAATTTTCATCGTAAATGTTATTTAGAAATGTAAACATGTACTTACGAATTTAAACTGTACTTAGAACTTAAACTGTACTTAGAACTTAAACATATTACAACGTTTGTTTATATATACAATAGCTACAAACATTACATTATCGAGGTTGACTCATAAAAATGATAATTTATTATCGAGTAATTCTCAGACACACTCGAGTGTCTTTTGAATGAAACGACTGTCAGATGTATTTAATAGAATGAAATTGTAATATAT